AGCCATCCGTTGTCCCTCCAGTGATTAGAACTGACGTTTTGTCTCGTACTCAATTCCTTCATGCACTTGGGAATGTTTCTTTGATACCTGTTAACTGAATCCATTCAGAGATCCTAGACCATTCCTAAATCCACATGGGACGCTTCGCTGGAGGCCACGTCCTTACTCACAGCTTCCTCCTGCTTTGCCCCATCATGGCCCGTCCTCTGCTGGGCTCCCCGGAGCTCATGAAGAAGCCGCCCCTGTAGGTCACGTCCTTCTTGCATGGGTTCTGCACAGTTTCCTTCTGTCTGTGTTCCATCTAGTCTCCGGCATCAGGGCAGAGGCCTCCGAGCCTGGAGGATGTGGACGGAGGGGCAGTGCCCTCGTGGCTGCCTGCTAGGACCCCAGTCCCAGTCCCAGCTCAGTGCTCTGGGGGAACGTCCCTCATGGTCTCTCCAAGTGATGTCGTCTTGCAGGCTCTGTTGTGTGGAGGCGCCTGTGGCTTAGTGAGGGCCACAGGACACTTCCACTGTCTGGCCTTGCATGAGGTTGGTGCCCTGACCTGGGAAGACCAGCATCCACGGGTCTGGGTTCTCCAGGCACTGCGTCCCCACCCGTCTGCTCTGCGTCTGACTCACGTGGGAGAACAGAGGTCTCTCAACCCTCTTCCCTAAAATGACATATCTCTCCAAGGCCTTCTGGCTCCTTCTGCAAACGGATTTCTGACAAACCCAGAATTGTCTTCAATCCACACTGAGCAAGGCTTCAAGCCTAAGCTGGATCCCTCCCCTCCTTTGGTCCGCCCATTGCAGACACACTACAAAACGCACATCTCAGACAAGCTGACATAATACGATATATTTGCACACACTGAATTCTCCATGATAGTGCTTAAAGTTTTCATGATATGAATTAGCCCTGGAGCCAAACAGCGCTGAGCAGGAAGCTGACCCTGGTAGACGTCTCTGACTGACTGCAAGTCTGTAGATCATTTATCTTAAGGAGAAATATTTAGTTTCTCTCTGTATTATTAAAAAAACGCCACAGGAGGTTGTGAGCAAATATTTTCTATTTTCATGAGAAGTGAGCAAGAAAACATTGGCTTGATTTGCAGTGAAAATAATTTGATGACACAAACAGAGAATTGTAGCACAAGAACAATCTATTTAGACTTACAGAATCTCTATGTGACAATGATTGGAACATGTTTCCTTTTGTCAGCTTTCAAGTAATGCTGGATACTGCATCAGTAGGGGAGAAATCCGTAACAACAGAGCAGTGAGTCAGGAGCCAAACAGAACGTGTCGGCGAGGGGCAGCTGGTGGCTCGCTGAGCCAGTGCGGCCCCTGGACAAAGCTCAACTGCCTGGAATCAGAATTTAGCTCTGCCACAGATGAACTATGACCTTGGACAAATTATATAACCATTGTGGCCTGTTTTCCTAGTCTGTGGAGGGGATAAGAGCAGTGCTCACCTCATTAGGGTCATAATGGAGATTGACGTGAGTTGATCCAATGCACTTAGCACAGCTCCTGCAACGAGTGACTGCTGCACCCAGAACCTGTTATTCTCCCAGCTCCTCGAAATTCTCAGCTCCTTCCTCAAGTCCCTGCTCCTATGAGTTGGTTATGTGCATAGCCACCTCCATCATGCTGCAAAAACTAATTTTGTTTTACACCTATGTCGTTCAGTAAGTCAAACAAATTGGCATAACTTTTATAACAGAAAACAACCCCACCCCTCCACACTGCTAACCGATGCCTTTGCCCCAGAGGCAACTGTTTCAACTTTTATCTGTTTTTCAGTGTTTACCTCTAAACTTTAAACAGCATGGCTTTACTACTCTTTGATTTTTTTCTTTTTAAACATTATCAATGCCTTTCCAAGTTATAAGAATTATCTTTTTTACCTCTTCTTCTTTCTTTGTTGTTAACACACATCTCCCTCATCCAAATAAAAAAAACCATAATTTTTACATCAATCTTCAATGTTTATATTAATATTTTATAAATATTATTTACATCTGAGCCACAGATTCAAGCTAATATATTTATATTTCCCTTGTTGGATGACATTTTGCTTGAGGGGTAGTCAATAATTATCTTTTTTGTTGTTGTTTTGTTGTCTGTGTATCCACAAATAATTTATCCCTGAACTCTGCCAGGTATGTGAACATAATCTTGATAAGGTCAAATGCATCAGGTAATCTATCTGCTTGATTGTCTTCTAGGAGCTATCATTCCTGAAGCTTTTGGTCCTGCTCCAACAGTGCTGTTTGCAATCCAGGACTGTCGTGCAGGTGTATGGTACCAGTGTGCGGTGTGGTGTGCTGTGCAGGTGTTCTATGCAGGTGTACTATGCACATGTGCTGTGAAGGTGTGCTGTGCGGGTATATTATGTGGGTGTGCCATGCAGGTGTGCGGTGTGGTATGCGGTGTGGTCTGCGGTGTGGTGTGCTGTCAGGTGTTCTATGCAGGTGTACTATGCACATGTGCTGTGAAGGTGTGCTGTGCGGGTATATTATGTGGGTGTGCCATGCAGGTGTGCGGTGTGGTATGCGGTGTGGTCTGCGGTGTGGTGTGCTGTGCAGGTGTTCTATGCAGGTGTATTATGCACGTGTGCTGTGAAGGTGTGCTGTGGGGTATATTATGTGGGTGTGCCATGCAGGTGTGCGGTGTGGTGTGCGGTGTGGTGTGTGGTGTGGTCTGCAGTGTGGTGTGCTGTACAGGTGTTCTATGCAGGTGTACCATGCACGTGTGCTGTGAAGGTGTGCTGTGCGGGTATATTATGTGGGTGTGCCATGCAGGTGTGCGGCGTGGTGTGCGGTGTGGTGTGCGGTGTGGTGTGCGGTGTGGTGTGCTGTGCAGGTGTTCTATGCAGGTGTACTATGCACATGTGTGTGAAGGTGTGCTGTGGGGTATATTATGTGGGTGTGCCGTGCAGGTGTGTGGTACAGGTGTGCTCTATAGGGATGTTATGCAGGTACATTATGCAGATGTGCTGTGTAGGCATATTATATGGGCAGGCAGTACAGGGGTGCAGCATCTGAGATCTGTCTTCACCTTAATCCCGAGCACTCTTTTCACGTCTCACCCGCACTGCAGTGCTGTTTCCTGGATCACATTTTGTTTTGTTTGTTTGTTTAATTCCTCCAGGAGAATGACTGCATGGGAAATATGGATGTTTCTTCACATTTTACTTGACTAACAGTTTCTCTGGTTATAGAATACGCTTTGGATTTAAAGTTGAAAACACTGTTTCGTTTTCCACTTGCCACCTCCTCTGTTCTAGAGAAGCTCAATCCCAATCTTGTCCCCCATCCTCGAGGTTTACGCTTCTTTTTTCTTTATTACCTGGAAGCATTCAGGGTCTTTTCTGCATTTTTGGCTTTCTGAAATTGCAGGACGATATGGTGTAGGTTCATTTTTATCTCTTGCTAGCTCTTTTCATTTGGAAACCTGTGCTGCATTCTGGATGCTATGGTCTGAAAGTGTGCCCTCAAATTCATATGTTAACACTTAATGGCCAATGGGTAGTGTTGAGAGGTGGGGCCTGCAGGTGGTGGTTAAGTCACAAGGGCAGAGCCTTCACAGTGGGATCAGTGCCCTTACGGAAGGGCTGAGGGCCTGGGTTTGCCCTTTTGCCCTTCCACCTCCTGCCACGTGAGGGCCCAGCCACAAGGCACCATCTGTAAGCAGAGCCCCAACCCTCGCCAGACACCAAGCCCACCAGTGCTTTATCTTGGACTCCCAGCCTCCAGACTGTGAGAGATAAATTTCTGTTTTTTATAAATTACTCGGTCTCATGTATTTTGTTGGAGCAGTACAAATGGAGTAAGACACTAAGACATTTTCTGGAATTCTTTGATTGATAATTTTTTCTTCTCATTCTTTTATCTTCTCTCTTCCTTGAACACATTATTTCTGGTGTTGAAAGTTCCAGACCACTTCTGCAATTTTCTTATTTCCTTATACTTTTTTCTCCTATTTTTCACCTTTTAGATCTCTTTTTGTTGTTGATTTACTTTCTGTGAGGTTTACCAACTTTATCTAGTACAAGTTTTATGGAATTTAAAAATTGTTTCAGAGTTTAACTTCCCAGATCCTGTTTTTTAACTGTTCATTTTTCATGACTTCCAGTTCTTTAGTGGTGATGTATCTTTTCTGTCTGAAGAGAGTCATTACAGTTACTGGAATTCCTTCCTGCTCTCCACCTGTCTTTGGTCTGTTCTCCTTTTCCCATTTTGATCTCTGTCCTTCATGGTGCATCCTCCTGTTGATTCCTGACCATCTGTTCACATGGAGCTGCTGTGGGGTGACCGGGCCGCGCAGTCTCCCTTGGCAGCTCTCAGTTCTCTGTATCCGTCAGCATTTTCTCTTGGTCCAGTCAGGTTTTCCCAGAGGGCACGGTCCATTCTCCAGCCTGGGATGGAGGTCCGGAGTGCATGTGCTCCCTCCCTGGTTGGCTCTTTATATGGTGAGTGGCAACTGGGTTTGGACCTCTCTCCTGCAGGCTGGGTCTGTGGGATGTAATTAGAAAGCAACTTCATTTCTATCCACTTACATGTACTCAATGGAGGAGGAGTTTCTCTTTCCTCGGGTACACGTGGCCACACCTATGACTTTTCTGCTCTGTCTTATGTTTAAAAGTGTCCCTCAGTCATTGCAGGTCACAAGCAGGCTATCGGCTCAGTAATTAAAATAATTCAGTTCTTCATAGTGAATATAATTCTAAATTCGATTTTAAGTTGAAACTCCCTGCTTCAGCATTGGTGATGGGGCCTAGAAACCAGGGTACCTGAGCTCCATCCTACAGGGGACCATACCGGGAGCTTTCTGTTTCCAGAGGCTTCTCTTTGACAGTGAAGTGTGATGACAGACATGGGGACAGGGCAATGGCTACCTTCTGAAAGGCTTTGGCACTTTAGTGAGAGATTTAAATTAAGTGACAGCTAGCGAGGCGTTTGTCAAGGAAAGTGCTGTCCAAATGCTAAATACTGATTATTTCTGCAGCAATGACTGCAATACTTCATTCAATCTCTGTCTTTCTTGAAGAAGTCGTAAATAAACATGATGAATCTGTGTAGAAGCAGTAAGTCAGAAAGACCTGTGTGTTTCATTACATAAACAGTGGTTTGTCATTATCTGACAGGCTTGGATTGTGAGTTGTTAATGAAACTGATGAGATGCTGGGCAGATGAACTCCCTCTTATTTCGAAGATCTTATCTAGGGCTGAGTCATGGGACCTGATAGTGTCTTGTGGTGCCGTCTTCTTGTAGATACATCCGTGTTTTAGAGGATTTAGTTTTTTAAAAGTTTCTCTTAGAATGTGAATTTTACGAAAAAGGACCTCCCAAGTGGATGATTATTTGAAAAATGAATTGTTAGACAAAACCGACACATCAGTTATGGAGAAAACCGTTCAAGAACTGGCTTTAAATGTGTTTCAGTGGAAGCCAGAGTGTGGAGAGAAACAGAAGGGGGAGGAGAGGGCGCCCCTGTTTCTTCTCGCCACAGCCAGGCCTTCACCACCTTTCTCAGCGTCTTCAAGAATAAAATGCCTCCCTTGTTGGTTTCAGCTGCTTTTCTTCCTCAGAGTAGGTGAAGTGACTCCAGAACTACAAGCATCTTGTAAAGTTGGAAGGGCTGTGTCAACATTAAGCTGCGTGACTTTGGCTATGAGGAAAAAACGGCCGCTGAGTGCAGAGAAGAATCAGAGCTGCAGCGGGGCTCCTCCCGCCAGGTCGCCGTGGAGAGGGGCTGTCATGTGTCCTTAAAAGCCTGGGTCTCCGGGGTGACTCAGGCAAGGGCTGAGAACGATCAGCTCCCTCACCTGCTAAACAGGCACCATCCCCCTCAGCACACACCCTCCACCCTCCAACCTTGCCCAAGTGCTGGTCCGTCACGTCACCAGGACAGGGCACGGAGACTCGGGCTGATTCTTTTCTCTCCCTTCCTCCCTCATTTTTCTCTTCTCTGACTCCTCCCTTTCCTTTCTTGCTAATCCCTGGTCTCCTGTTTCTGCCCTGCAGTGTCTGCAGCTCTGGACGGGGTGGGGTCCACATGGACATGGACGTAAGCAGGTGGGATGGACATGGGTGGAGGCAGGTTCGATGGCCAGAGTTCTTTCAGCTCACAGTAAGTGGTTTTTGTTTTGTTTTGTTTTGTTTTGTTTTAGATGGAGTCTTGCTTCGTCGCTCAGGCTGTAGTGCAGTGGCGTGATCTCGGCTCACTGCAACATCCGCCTTAGAGCAATTCTCTTGCCTCATCCTCCCAGGTAGTTGGGACTACAAGCCACATGCCTGGCTAATTTTTGTATTTTTAGTAGAGACAGCGTCGTCTGGCTGGCTGTTGGCCAGGCTGGTCTCCAACTCCTGACCTCAGGTGATCCGCCTGCCTCAGCCTCCCAAAGTGCTGGGATTACAGGCGTGAGCCACTGCACCCGGCCTCAGCTGACAGTAAGTTTTAGATATTTACAGACTAACTTGCCAGAAACATATATGACTTTATTATTCTAATTGATTCTAGGAGATATTATGAACTCAAATCCAAAGTTAAGTCCCACCTATCATGACAATCTCATTACGGAAAAAAGTCAAACCATTTTGGAAATGATTTAAGTGAGCAACTTGGAAAAATTTTCTACAGTCCTAACTTACTTTCCAGGGGGTTGTTCCTGACTTCACATCTGTCGGGCATCTTAGCTTATCTCTTTTTACTTTGGGTTTTTCTCGCCTCCTTGGTGTGCTGGGAGTCCCACTCCACCCAAATGCCCTCAGGTCTAATAATTAACTTCATTGCAGGCTCCTGGCAGGCCTGGGTGGGAGGCAGCCGCATCCACTCCTGAAGGAGATTTAAGTTGGGTTTGGTGAACCAGTAGAATTTGCATTTTGCTATTTCTTTCCCTCTCCCAGAATTTGTACCTTTAAGTAGGTTTTAGTGTCATTAAGTATATCAAAAGGAAACCAGTGGGGCAAAGTGGCCAGACTCTGTAGAGGTGGCCCTGTCTAAGCCTTTCAGCTTATCGATGAGGAAAGACAGGACCAGAGAAGTTGTCAACTGTCCCTGGTCCCACCGCTTGATTTGGGGCAGTTTCCTGAAAACAATATCCAAGATGCAAAGCATATGGCTCTGGTGAGACGTGTATGAGAGGAGCTGGGAATGAGACGGCGGAGTGTCCGGAGCAGATCAGGAAGGGCTGTGCTCACCATCAGGAAGTCTGGACTCCGCTGTGAAAGACATGGAGACCCTCATGCACGTCCAGGATGAGGTGACAGCTGGGCTTGTAGGAGTCAGGTCCCTGCTGTGTGGGGGTGAAGCTGAGGCAAGATGATGCCCGGAGCTAAGAGATGGTCACAGGAAGTCCAGCAAGAGCTAACGAGGACTGGACAGTGACAGGCAGGCCAAACAGTGAGAGGAACCTCGGTGGCAAGAGCCAACAGGGCTTGTTGATTTAGGAGAGGAGACGAAGGGCTGAGAGGTTTCTGGGCTCGTGGGCTGGGGCCTGGGAGGATGGAGAAGCTACTCTCTGTTTTACGGAATGCAGAGAAGTATTCAGTTCTGCACACAGTGAGTGCCCTGAGAGGTGTCTCAGTGGGATCGAGATGCAGTTGGAAATGTTCATTAGAAAGATGAGAAGCGGCACCAGCAGCAAACATCTAGGAAACCAGAAACCATCAGCACAGGTGCCTGCTGAGTCCCAGAGACCCACCAGGGCCCACCAGGACCCGCCAGGAAGCAAGTGTGGAGCTGGGAGTGAGGGGGCTGAGTGCGGAGATCTGGGGGAAGACTGACATTTAAAGGGCAAGAGTGGGAAGGATGGAGTCATCTGCAGCTGAAGGGAACCACCGTTAGTCACTCCTTGTGATGAAGGTGCAGATGCTCCTGCTTCCATGCACGTCGCTCCTGGGCCGTGGGCACGTTTGGAACTGCCCTTGTTCCCCAGCATAGTATCAAGTGAGGGGAATGACAGTTTCCTATGGAAGCACAGTTTCTACAGAAAAAGAAGGTGTGGTTGAGAGCATGAGGGCTAAGGAAAAGGAGGGGATTAGAGACAGCCAGCAGTGAGGGAGACGGCTCCAGATACGAGCTGAGTGGGCAGAGCAGGGAATTCAAGAGAGAGAGGCGCATATATTATGTAAATTTTAAATTTTTTAGTAGCGAGCAACCTAGCAAAAACTGGCTGAATCCAAAGGGAATGTATTGGCTCACGTCATAAAAATCTAGTGAAAGATTCTAGCTGAAGTCATAACTAGATATACAAGTTTAAATAATTTTGTCAGAAATTGTTTCTTTGCTACTCATCCACCTATCCATCCACCCACCTACCCATCCCTCCATCCACCCATCCACCTACCTACCCACTCACCCATCTCTTTATCCATTGATCCACGTGAACATCCATCCTCTCATCTCTACTTTCCTCCATCCCTCCCCCATGCCTCCCTCCGCATCCATCTGGCCATCCCTCCACCCACCTGTTCATCTCTCCGTTCCTCCCTCCCCCATCCCCCCACCCCCTGTTCACCCACCCATTCATCCGTCCCTGCGTCTTTCCATTCACTTCTCCGTCTTCTTGTCTCTGCTTCTCTTTGTATTTTGTTCTCACTATTCTCTGTTTCATAAGGCTTCCTGAAAGCAGCATCCATTTATTCCTTGTAGTAGGATTCCTAGAGAAAGACTGATAAATTATTTCTCAGTATTCATAAACTCTCAGGGTGAATTTTATTTGGCCTGACGTGGATCACCTTCTAATATCTGAACGGATTGCATACCCAGGTGATGGAGTATTTTAATCACTGCAGACCCTCCACCCTCACCTGACCAGCGCCCCACAGCAGGACCACGTGCAGGGCCAAGGCGGCTCCAAGGTGCTGAGCAGCTGAGCACTCAGCCAGCCCATGGCCACGACGGTGTGCCACCGAAGCCGTGCTGCTTACTTCACAGCCAGGATCCGGGGTCAGGCTATGTCCCATGCAGCCTGATGAAGGGTAAAAAGAACTAAATGCAGAGTGCTGGGGCAGCATAGAGAGAGCCGGGGCGTCTGACCCAGCCTGGGATGGTCAAGGACGACTGCCATGCAGGAGGTGGCATCTGAACTGTTCCTTAATTAGAAAGCCTGGCACAGAATGAAGACCGCATTCCTCAAACCCGAGTCAGGGTGCAGGGATCCACATGACCGTGCTCCTCTTATTCTTAGGAAGGGACAAGAAACTTCCATCCTTTGGCCTCCAGCTGCTGAAATGACCTTTGCAAGTACTGAGTCATCTTTAATGAAAAAATACACTAATATGCTGCAAAATTTGGAGCTTACTGTTTCTGCCTAATCCATGAGGAGGGTGTGAGTTAAAGGCTCTGTGCCTGTGCTGGACACGTCGGGGACTTTTGTTCATGATTTCCTTTCCTTCTGACGCTTCAGTTATGGTGGTTCAGCTCTACAAGCTGTGTGATATGGGCAATTCATTTCACCTTTTGACCACTATTGTTCTTATTAGTGAAATGAATACCTACAAGAATGCTTGAAGTTTAATAGTGAAACATCTGATACTCACGGGCACCATGTATTGGCTGAATTCATAAGTGACTATAGGACACCTTTAAGTACGTTCCAGGGCAGGAAAACCGAGGACACCGCCTCATATGCCAGGAAAGGAGGGGCCTGTGTCCACCAAGACCCCGGCTCCATGTGGCTCTGCTGCTGTGCTTCTCTCGGACCCTAGTGTGGTCTTCCCCTGCCACTGGGCCTTTGCTGGTGATACTCCCTCTGCCTGGAGTATCTCCATAATGTCCACTGCTGGGGCCTTGCCCATATTCTCTACACGTGGCACTGCAGTGCCCCCCAGCCAGCTCCCAGGGGCCAGTGCCCGTAGTTCTTTGTCCAAGATCTTTGTCCTGCAGCTAAAACCCAATTTGCTGCCACTGGCTCCAACCACAGGCAAAAGTGCCGGGGAGGAAACGCATCAGGGCACAGCCCTCAGGAGACCGTGGTTATGGACAGCTGTCTGTCTCCTTGTCCTCTGGGGTGGATACGTCTCAAGTGCTCTTTTTTGGGTATTTGGTTTTGCTTTTGTGGCTTGCATCGGCTCCCAGAGCCTGACAGTGGCAGAAGGCTCCAGCTGTCCACAGCGGTGACTGGTTTTAAGTGTACCCTTTCTTGGCCATCTTCCTCACGCTTGGAAATAAACAGCCTGCACTCCAATCCTCAGCACAGGGTCAGCTCCTGAGGGATCTTCTTAGCCTTGCTAATGCTTGCTTACCCTTCAGAATTTAGCTTCCATTTTCGCTTCTTCGTGGGAGTCTCCTGGAGTATAGTCTCCTCCCATGTCTGCTGCTTCTTCCTGGATCTCTTAGGCTGTATCTGTTATAGTCGTGGTCTGACTTGTATTTGTGGCCAATGTTTTCTTCTTATTTTTTTTGTAGAGACAGGGTCTCGCTATGTTGCCCAGGCTGGTCTCAAACTCCAAGTGATCCTCCTGCCTCAGCCTCCCAAAGTGCTGGGATTACAGGCTTGAGCCACCAAGCCTGGCCTATGTTTGTGGTCTTTTTGACTAAAAATGATCTTTTCTCCCAACCTGAAATCTCCTGAGGGATGAAACTTTGTGTCTCTTTGGTTTATCCCAGCATATAAATAGTTACATATTTTTGAATTAACAAATGAACACAAATTTCTATCAAATTATTATCTAGGGCAAGCACTGGAATAAAAATCCTGTAAAGGGCCAGATCACTGTTTTAAGCTTTTAAACAACAGTTTCTATGGCAGTTACCAGCTCTGCTGTGGAAAGGTGAAGGCGTGGGTAGGCGATATGTAAAGGAATGAGCATGTCTGGATGTTCCAATAAAACTTTATTTACAGAAAGAAGCAGTGGAGGAGAGCTTCCAGAATGGCTGTGTGAGGAGCGTGGCAGGCCCTCTATGCAGGGAAATAACCATTTAACCACAGAACATTAATTTTTTTAAAACTAGAAATTATCCTAAAGGCATCCAGCAGGTGGATAAATATTTACTCAAATAAATTGATCAAATCTCAGTAAGAACGGTAAGAATCGGTGGTATCAGAGCCACAATCCACCCCGCCCCACCCCCAAAGCACAGTGTGATGAAAGCTCTGCCCCAGGAAGTTCCAGCTAACAAGATGCTGTGGTCTGTCTCCCCAGCTCCTGGTCTAGGGTTGTGGTTTCATCCCAGGAAGGCAGGCCACCGGCATCTCTTGTCCCTCTCAGTTTGCACTGCAGAAGCACTGTTCCAGGAGGACCCTGCTTCAGCCTGTGCTTGTCCTCAGAGGGTGGCAGCCCCACCCCAGACGTGGCAGACTGAGCACATGTGCCTGGATGGCCCCACACCAAGTCACTCACAGGGTGGAGGTTCCATGTCTGGAGGGGCCAGCTAGGAAGGCGAGGGGCTACCGTACCGACCCGGCTACCGGCTCGTGCAGCAAGGGTGTCACTCCGGTGGAACTGGGTCACGGTCCCCGGGAGCAGAGGTGGGACGAAGAGCAAAGCATGTCCCTGAGGTGACACACTTTATTTGGAGCACTGCATGGGGAAGTTCAAGCCCAAGGGAGTTGGCAAAAATCGTGGAGATTTTGTTGATGAACAATTGAGAGCGGGTGAAATGGCAGACTAGCTAGAACTTGAACAGAGGGAACCGGGAACAGAGATTGCTGAGAAGAGCTCCAGGGGTCTGAGTGGACTTGAAAAGCTGGCAACACTCTGCCCCTGCCAAAGGGCCTGGTGTTGATTGAGTCAGTCTGTGGAGCAGTTTATGCCCCAGGAACTTTTAAAAACGACAGAGCACTTGCATTTAGTGGGTGTTAACACCTGTGTGTGACACCAATGACAGACAGACCAGCAGAAGCTTAACAGAGAGCCCAGAAGACACCACAGACACCGCAGGTGGCCAGAGAGACTCTGTGCAGGTCCAAGCTGTGCCCTCTGAGGAGCAAGGTCAGAGCCACGTCCCTAATCACATAATCAAGCAAGCAATGAAACAGAAATAACAGCCCCCGGGGTCAGGACCAGAGTCCAGATTTGCTATGATATGTTACCTAAAATGCCCAGTTTCCACGAAAATGCAAGAAAACAGGAAAGTGCAACCCATGCTCAGGAAAACAGAAGGCGACAGAAACTGTCTATGACAGGCTCCAGACACCCGATTAACAGACAAAGACAGCCAACGTCAAAACAGCCTTAGAAACACATTCAAATTACTAAAGGAGACCATGTTAAAAGAATTAAAAGAAATTATGATGACAATGTCTCCTCTAATAAGGAATATCAATAAAGAAATAAAAGTTATTTTAAAAAACAAAAAATTGTGGAGTTGAAAAGAACAATAACTGAAATGAAAAATTCGCTCAGGGGCCCAGGGGTAAATGGGAGCAGTCAGAAGAAAGAGCCAGCAGACTTGAAGTTATATCAGTAGAGATTATACAACCTGAAAAACAGAGAGGGAAAAATAATTAAGGAAAATGAATAGACGTGCGGGACACCCTTAATGAGCATACCAGAGGAGATGTGAGAGAGAAAGAAGCAGAAAAAAAAAAATTCCAAGCAGAAAAAACGTCCAAGAAATAATAGCTGGAAAGCTCCCAAACTTGCTGAAAAGTGTTAACCTACACATCCAAGAAGCCCAGCAAACTCTACACAAAGAGATACATACCTGGACACATCATAATCAAAATGTTGAAAGACAAAGGCAAGGAGAAATCGTGAATGAACAAGACTAAAACGGCTCGCCACAAAGAAGGGAACCCAGTAAGATTAACACTTGACCTCTCCGTAAAACACTGGAGGCCAGAAGGCAGTGGGATAACATACTCCAAGTGCTCAAGGGAAGAAACTATCAATCAACAATCCTATATCCAGCAAGGTCATCTGTCAGACGTGAAGGTGAAATAGAGAAATTTCAAGATAAGCAAAAACCAAGAGAATCTGTTGCTAGCAGAACTGCTTTATGAGATGCTAAAGGAATTCTTCAGGCTGAAACCAAGTGAACTCAAACGATTTTCAAATCCACACAAACAAACAATGAGCAGTAGTAAAGGTAAATGTGTACTTTTTTTAAAAAGTATAAATGCATATATTTTCTCCTGTTTTCTCTAGTTTTAAAAAGCAACTGCAGAGAACAATAAGTATGGAATTGTATTATTGGACCCATAACATACAGAAATGTAATGTATTTTACAATAACAGTACAAAGGAGGCAAATGGGAAAAACTGTAATGAATTAAGGAAATGATCACATACTGCATAATCCCATTTATATGAAATGTCCAGAACAGGCAAATCCATAGAAGTAGAAAGTAGATTTACAATTGCCTGGGCTTGCGACATGGGTGCAAGAAAGAAGGAAATGAGTACTAATGGGCATACGTTTCCCTTAGGGAATGACAAAAATGTGATGATTTCACAGCTCTGTGAATGTACTAAAAACCATTGTAGTATTAAAAAGAAGAACAAAAGAAAAGAAGAATAGAATTTTGTGTACATAATTGTAAAACTAGTCTTTAGTGAAGGGCTCTGTTATCCAGAAAGTCAACATTAGCTACATAACTTCCCCAGAGATTTTCATCCACAGCAAATATTCATCAGAGACAGAATCCAAACCCAGGTCTGTGAATCTAGTTTCTTTTCCTCCACCTGCCTTAACAACAAATTATTGAGTAACTCGAGGACACGATACCTTGAAAGACTCTGAAACGTTTCTGTGATGAATTTACTTATGAATCCCAGTACTCTTGATTCTAGATGATGTGTTTTGTTCAGCATCTGTTTCAGTCATGTCAAGTAAAACCATTTCCCCCAGGTAATGGAGTTTCTCTTTTTACTTTTTCCCTTGGCCTCAGCATTTACAGCCCATGCAGACTGTTTTAACGAACGCGTTGGTGAGGTGCGGTGGAATCACAGGCAAAGGCACACTTCGTTATGTTGTGTGGGTACATATCAAACACTTGCCAAGAAATTTTAAAGTATTATTCATCGCAGTCTTTTTCTTCAGTATTTTATGGGCTAAGTGCAATCTGGCTTTTGATAACAATGGCTGAATAATATTTGAGTTTGCCAGCTGAAATGTCCTAAATGTCTTATTAATCCATGTATTGCCTCGTCAAATAACAAGGCAACAAGACAGTGCCAGAATGCTCAGCATTTTTGCTTTTTTGTCTACGATGTGATGGTATCAGTTTCAGGAAAATCGATGCCTCTTGTTTTGTAGGAATCTCAGCAGTGACAGGCGTTTGTGAAAAGCTGTGAATATTCAGTGCCTCAGGGTTAAAGCCAGACCCTACTGGGCAGAGAAAGGGTGACCTGGAAGGTGTGTGAGGGCCCCGCCCACGGGCCCCTGTGATGGTCGTGGCCTCAAGAATCACGCTGCAGGTGAGGCCCTGAACCTGCACAGCCAGGACCAGTGTTCTCTGCACATGGGCACCGAGGCCAGCGGCAGCCAGGAGAGGGCTGCAGAATCAGCCTGTGCAGCTCTGTGATGACAAGCAGAGATGCTGGTTTAGAGACTTGCTACTCACAGGGCAGTCCAGGGGCCTCCCGCATCCACATTACCTGGGACTTGTTAGAAATTCAGAGTCTCAGGCCCCAACCCAGACGGACTGAATCCAAAGCTTCATTGTGGTAAGACCCTCGGGGCACACAGGTCTGGGAAGCACAGGTTAGTGTCCTGTGTCGCCTTGGGCAAAGCTCTCAGCATCACGAGCCTCTGTTTTCTACTCTGAAGAGGAGGCATCAATATCTACATCGTAAGTTTGCCATGAATATTGAAAAATAATGTCTTAGAAGCACAGGGCAGAGCCTGGCATGTAGATTGTGCTCAGTGCACAGCAGACAAGAAACCACACGCACCAGGCCCAGGCAGCCGTCGGCAGCCCACGCTGAGCGACCATGGGTCTCTTGGGACCTTGCTTCTTTCATTTCTAAAATGAAAGTTTTGGACTGTATTTCTTTTCACTTAAAAATTTCATCTGTGTGTATGATGGCCTCTGTCGTCCCTTTCCTGAAACTCCTGCTAACACTGGGAGCTGAAGAGAGCCTCCGTGAAGGCGAGCAGGGGCGCCTGTCCTCCCAGGAGGAACTTCCCTCCTCTCACGAGCCCTAGTGCTCCACCAGCTCCAGCTTCAGGGCCCGGACAGTGGGGGAGGGAGAGGAAGCGCACGCACCCAGCAGTTCCGCCCACCGAAGGTGTTCGGTCCTGATCTGCAAAATCAGTTCCACGTCTCCTTGTCTGGCAGCAGATCAAAGGGCCAGGGGTCTGGGACGGAGAGAAATGGCCAGAGAATGGATGGTGACGTGCTCAGAGGCCCTGGTGGGCTACACCACACTCGGTGGAAGAGAGCAACACCATCAAATCTCCACACTTCGTTATCCATGACTTAAAGGAAAGTGAACAGGGAGGTGGACAACTGTGCAAAGATTGGCTGGAGTCAAGTCCCGGGCACTGGCGAAGCATCGAGAACGCGTGTCACACATTTGAATGTGCAGGTGGACTCTGACTGGAAGCTCCTAGCAGAGGCTGAAGACGCTGGTTAGGTCCTGCAGCGTGCTTTGGGATGCATCCCAGGCGACGGGCCCAGCAGCTCGAGTTCACGTCCACCCGGCTCACTGGGGAGTCCTGCACCCTCCTTCAAACCTAACTGGAAGAGACACTGATCCTTCCTCCCACCTAAGGGCTCCCAGAGCCACAGGTCTCCGCCTCTCCTGCTGCCTGCTCCGACCGCCCGTGACTCACTCAGTCACCCTCCTCGGCAGCACCCAACAGCCTCTGTGTGTCTTTCTCACTCACCATTACCAGCCCCTGGGTGCCCAGTGCGTGTATGTTGGACAGAACAAGTGCACGGCGGCCTTCAGCAGCGCCGGCCGCGTCGACCCCTCTCCGTGCTCACACCGGGAGTGATCCGTGCACTCGCCCTCCCACAGAATGGGAGAAGGTGATAACACAGCTGAGCGGGGTGTCCAGAAGCCAGCCCCACCCACAGCCACTACTGAGAGGTTGTGAGATCGTGGCCTTGTTCCTAGAAATGCTGTGCAGCGAACTGGGACTGTTTTCCTCTAAATTCGAAGCTGGGGGCAGTCTAGGCACCTGGACGCAGGGTCTGCTCTCTGTCCCGGCCCGGCGGCTGCTCACCGTGGGGATGCTGTGCAATTAGACAGTTACTTTCTTTCCCTGGTTGACGGATTAGAGTTTCCTTTTTCTGAGCATCTTTTTTTTTTGAAGTGATCCGAAGTGTTCAGGATTAAAGAGCGTAATTTTCCCAAACTATCCAGAAAATAGAAGCAGGTCTGCAAGAGGGGGGTGCCCAGGGCCTTGAGATGAAAACGAGATAGGATGAGACCTGGGGAGCTCTCCAGGCCTCCGGGAGCTCAGTAAAATCATCCTCTGGACCTCTTTGCTGACTGTGCTGTCACCACAGCAGCCGCCTTCTCTCATCTGTAAAGAGGATTTTATGTAACTTTCCGTACACTTGGTTGTTGACAATTAAGTAGATTGTTTTTAAAGATACTTGAAATGACATCAGAATTTCCTAAACATATCATTAAAACGGAAACTTAGTTACCTTCTTACTTGAATCACTAGAGAATACCAAATAGGAATAGGAAAATAACGCAAAGGTAAGAGAAATGTCCAAGGCCAATCACAGGAGTCAATGCTCGCAATCAAATTAGCTCTACCTGGGGAGGCCGCGCTCAAGGCACCATCAGCGACAAGTGGGTGACTCTGGGGCGAGTTCCAGGGTGTCACCCCCATGGCAGCAGCTCAGGTGCAGCCCTCATGCAGGCACAGTCACTGAGGGCCCCTCGAAGCCACTACTCTGAGATTCTGAGACAGGACTTGAATAACGTTCCAGCGTCTGAACAAATGAACCCTATGACGCCTGCTGTGAGAGAGAACAATGTCCCAATTTTGCCCAGGTGATTCGAACATCTCGGTGTGGATCTGTTATGGGTTGAATTTTGTCCTGTCCAAATTCTTATGTTGAAGTCCTTACCCCCAGCGGGACTAGATTTGGAGACAGGGCTTTTAGGGAGGTGACTAACGTAAAATGAGATCACCAGGTGGGCTCTGATGCAATCTGGCATCCTCCTAAGAGGACATGAGGACACAGACACATACAGAGGGAGGATTGTGTGAGGACACAGGGAGAGGATGGCATCTGCACGCCAAGGAGAGAGGCCTCAGGAGGAACCAGCCCTGCCCACACCTTGATCTGGGACGTCCAGACTCCAGGGCTGTGAGAGAGAAACGTGTTTTGTTTAAGCCACGCAGTCTATGGTGCTTTGTTGTGGCACCCCCAGCAAGCTAACCTAGGATCTAAAGTGATGCTTCAACTGCTTCAGTGTGATTCTAGGATCCTTCCACCAAGAAAGTACCCTAAAAACTGTCCTAACATCCAGGAGGTGAAATCCCGCTGGGGGCTGATCCAGCCCCACATGGATAAATATGTCACAAAGTGTTAACTTCTCTGCTTTTCAGCCTCTGGTTATTTATCTACTTGTAGTCTATGTATATTCGTGGTTATATAAATACAGTATGCAGCACCCATGTTTATATTTTCAGATATTATCTGCATGTTATATGTGGTGTGTACCTTATGTATTAGGTTTATAATCTGCTCTCTATCTACAGTGGTTACGGTGTCCTTGCATCTCCCTCCCACCACAGCGTTGGTGGCCTTCCCTGGGGCCTGCTCCTGGGGAATGCAGCCTTCTCTGTCCCCATGGCCCTGTGGCCCCATTGCCCAGCTGCTTTGTCTCGCCTCCTGCCTTTGTCCTGAGCACCTGCCCCTCTCCCAGCCTCCCTCATCTCCTTTCCCTTCAAAGTTTCCCATTTTCCAGACTGGCTTCATGTGGCCTCCAGTGATCCCACCTGTCCAGCCCTCCTATCACCTGTGGTGGCTGGTGTGTGAAGCCTGAGGACAGGGACAGCCCAGCGTCGACCGACAGCCACAGCCCAAGGGTGTCCAGTGCTGGAGATGTGTGTGCAGATGAGTGCACCACGGCCTCTCTGCAAACTCCAAGTGTTTCTTTAGCTGTAGATGGAAACTCGGAGCCTCCCAGCAGGTGAACCCTAAAACACTTGTCCTCTCTCAGCAGTTCAGGGCTCCCCCCGTGTCTGCACCAGTGGAGCGAGGCCAGGCTCCCTCACTCTGAGCAGGTTTTGGTCCCTTTGCAGGCCAGATGCTGTGTGTGATGATTGCTTAACAGGTTATGACAGTGATCTTTAAGTAAGTGGGAATCTTGTGAGTTTTGAGTTTTTTTTTTTTTTTAAATGAAATCTACGTGGAGTATTTCAAAGAGCAATAGCAGCCTCTGTACACATTTGTCAAGCAGGAAGCTGGGTCTGCGGGGAGTAGGTGGGGCTGGTTCTCCCACACTCTTGCCCCTTTCAGGCCCTTGCCTTGCACGGCTGTGGTGGTTCTGCCAGTGTGGATTCGAACCGATAGGTTTCTCTGTACCTTGATCAGCGTCCTGCTGCCAAGAAAGCCGAAAAGGGCTGGAGCAACCCTCCCGTGTGCCGTGTGAGCCTGTTCCTTTCTGCAGGCACCAGTTCATGCAGCAAGTGTCCGAGTGTTGCTGTGAGGCGCGGCTCTCCACAGCTGCCGGGGAGCTTTCTCCGGCAGGGTCTTCCTCACTGTATGTCGGATATGGCAGCCTTCGAGGCTGGGGACCTGAAGTTTTCATGTTATTCTATTTTAATTACTTTAAATTACAGTGAGTATTATCACTAAGTGTACGCAAACATGTGAGGCAATGCTGGCTTAGAGCTTGTGGCCTAAGGTCACAGAGCTCCTAAGAGTCTCACGTGGAAGCCTTGTTTCTCCAGGTTTTTAGAGTTTGTACTGAATCACGCATCATGCTGCTTCCCTATTTTTTCAGGGATTTACAACACAGATTTTCCTGAGTACCCTGGATTAATCTCCTTTTGGATAGGTCCATGGGGGCCCTGCTGCTTTTCCCCCGTAGCCCTGGGTGAGGTCCTCACAGAGCGGGAGTAGCAATGGCCCACAAGGTACTGGTGGGGCCCAGTAAGTTACCTCAGAGCCCGCTTGGAACGCAAGTGCTATGTCCCCCAAAAGCTTTGCAATGAGTCTCCGGTGGGAACAAACTCAGTTAAGGACAGGCACAGGTTGGGGTTTGCAGGCTGCAGATTCAGAATGGTTTATGAGATGGGAGCCACACTTTCTAACAACAAGACCTGAATTTCTCAATTTAATCCAAGTCGTGACTTAAGCTAGCTCCCTTCCATTCCTCTATTACATTTCTGTTTGGCATGGATCAAATTGCCTACAAGGTAGAACAGATTTGAACTGCAATCTCTGAACCAGAAAATTCACTTACTCTCATGAAAGTTTGTAATCTTTGGAGAGTTGCTTAAAGAAACACATAAAACCATCTTTCCTCTTTCTGTACTCCAAACTTACCTGCTGCAATTTCTTGCTAAGAAGCAAAGTGCTCTTTGCCTATTCCTATCTCTCTTTACCTTCAGACACTCCTAAATTAAGAGCTAGGTAATTCAGTCAGCCTCGGGCCAGGCTGAGCCTCACTCTAGAAGTCACATTCCTGAGGTGTAGGGGGTCAAAGTGCCTCTCATTGTTCAGAACCAGGTGAGGAGCCAGCCAGGGCACGTTCTGCTCTCCAGGCTTGGTTCAGATAACTGTCAGCCCAGTTTTCAAGAGCACACACCAAAAATGCACCAAAGCGTACATCCATGCAAACACCTGCACTTGGATGTTTATGGAAGCTTATTTATTTTTATTCATGATCGCCCAAACTCAGAATCAACCAAGATGTCCTTCAGTAGACGAATGGATAAACGGTGCATGTCCAGGCAGTGGAATATTATTCAATGCAAAAAGAAATGAGCTATCAAGCCATGAAAAAATACGGGGGAATTTAAATGCATATTACTGAGTGAAAGAAGCCGGTCTGAAGAGGCTACACTCTGTGTGCTTCCAACTATAGGACATCCTGGAGAAAGCAGAATTACGGACACAGTGAAAGATGAGGACTGGTGGTGTGGGGAAGGATGAATAGGTGGAGCACAGAGGACTTTTAAGGCAGCCAATCTACTCTGTGTGATGCTGCAGTGACGAGTTCATGCCACTAGACCCTTTACCAAACCCAGAGCATGTACAACACCGGCGGTGAACCCTGACGTGAACTGTGGACTCTGGGTGACAACAGTGTGTCAGTGGAGGATCATGGACTGTAACAAACGCATCACTCTGGTGGGGGATGTTGATAATGGGGGAGGCTATGCATGTGGGGAGGTGGGTATGTGGGAAATCTCTGTACTTGCTGCTGGGTTTTGCTCTGAATCTAAAACTGCTCTAAAAATAGTTGATTTAAAAATACACCAAAGCAATGAGGCCAGGCGTGCATACAGCCAAAGCCAATGATATTTGTATGAGTCAGGTAAATCTGAGTCCTGAAAAATGATCACTCCAGGGAGGCTGAGCTGTCAAGGGGCACTTATTGACAACCTACTATATGCCCATCTGTTGCTTAAAATTTCCTATTAGCTATTATTGTTACTAAACAATTCAAAACAAGGTCACTTCTCTCAAGGCGCCTTCAATCTTGCTGCCATCAAAGCTAACAAAAGTGGAAACAGAACAACGATACACGCAGGCACGTTTCCCAGAACGTGCCCCGGGGAGCCCTGGCCCTGTTGACTGTGCATGGCTGTCACTTGCAGGAGGCTTCCATGGACAAGTGAGTTTGGGAAATGCTGGGTTAGGCAAATATCCACAGGCTTCCTTACTGCAAGATTTCTCATAGTCAACACACACTTTAAATCTCTAAGAGGATGGTACAGAGAGTCCTGTTTCCCGTAATTAGTTGGCCCCAGAAACGGTTTCTTCTGGGAACATCGAGTAAGATTGGTGCTCCCTGAAACACACGGAGGGAGTGATAGAGATTCACAGACGATTTGGACTCTGGCCCCAGAGTGGAAACGGCCAGGGGAAGGGACTGTTCCCGAGATGGTGAGGTGGAGAAGGGGACGTGTTTCTCCACTACCCACAGAGCGGGGCTGAGAAGTCCTGGCACACGGGCTGCATCTGGGGGGTCAGAGGGTGAGGTGAGAGGACAGGAAGACAGCCCACAAGACTTTCCAAGGAAATGGTGAATCTTGCCATGGCTGTCTGGGCTGATGACAGGACCTGGCACAAGGTAGGAGCTCAGAGTGAGTGCAGGATGCACCCAGGGCTGAAATGTTCAGGAGGGATCCTAGGACATGAACAACCCGGGCTGGGCCCTCGCGGAATTTGAATGGCTGGAAAGAAGGAAGGGTGATCCTGCTAAGACAGGGTGTTATGAAGGTTTCCTTTTCCTCCGAACGAACATCTCACTCACTTCTATCAGTTTCCACCATTATCTTCTGTGGAGTTCTTCATTCCCCATCTGTGGCCCTTAAAATCCTGCTATTGAGTGCCTGCCCTGGGTCGGCAGTCAGTTCGTTACCTTGGTTCCCAGACGATGCTCGCAACAATGCCATGGGATTCGCCCATTCCTGGATAGATGGAGACATTGGGGCTCAGGTGTGGGTAAGTCATTGTGTGACTCCTTGCTGAGTGGCAGAACTGGGACTAAATTCACACAGATCTGATTCCAAACCCTGTGGCCCTAAGCACAGTGTTACATTAGACAATAAGCCCTCTGCAGGGAGATTTCCAGTGTTGATGGAAGGGTCTGTCATGAAGGAGGCCTCTGCTGAATTTTTCTTTGAACCCCAACAAGTGCCTGGCACAGTTCTCTGCAGAAATTAGAATGCAGCCAGCGGTTACTAAAGAAATGAATAAATCAAGTAAATGGGCAGAGCTGTGTGCTAATGAGGTGCTCTTGGGACTACAGCAATGGGTCAGAATTGGAAATGTCTAGAAAACACTCTTGGATAATTATGAAAGCCACGTACAGGAGTTCGGGTTTAATTCCATATAAAATGAAGAGTCACAAAAGAAAATGAGGAGAGGTGTGTTCAGGCAGACCTCAAGCTTGACAGTGCTATGAAATATGTTTGGGACTCAGAAAACAGTTCCTAAAAGAAATGACACATTAATGAATGAAGGTGTAGTTGTTCAGAGAAAATAAACCTGGATATAAGAGTGACCATATCAAAATGTGTTTCTTAAACTGGGGGCTTCAGAACCCATGAGGTTCACTGATATATTCTTGGGAACTATGTGTGTTTGAGAAACATATTTCTGGTGCCAAACTGACAGTCACCTCAAATCCATCATAGCACCTATGATGAATTCTTTTCAAGTTAAATGCTGTAAAGAAAATACTTCTCTTTTGTACTGTTAATTCACAGTTTAAAAGTGTTTTTTTAGTGAACTACACGTTGGTCCCTCAGGTAAGGATTTCTCAGGTCTCAGGTCTTTGGGGTCTTTGAGGAGTGTGACTTCTTAAATTGGATGACACTGATCTAAGTGGCTGTAGTATCCGTTCAAGCACGAGGGCGGTCAGAGCCTGGGAAAGCTCAGGTCCAAGCAGCTCCTGAAAGCGGACGTTGGGGAGCAGGCTGCTCTGAGCATAGGGACCCGCAGACACTGAGAACGTCAGCGAACCAGGAGCCAGCCCTTTCACTCTGCCCGGCAGGAGGCTGTGGGGTTCCCATCTCTCCCTGTCTCCTGAACTCACAGCAAAAACAAAAAACTCAATTGTTTGTTAACACACATAGTTCCAGAGGGAAAGGTTTACACCGAACCAGAAAGGATTGGGGTTTACCAGCATCTTCGCTTTGAGGCCTCCTAGTGTACTTCCCATGGACTATTGTTCACCTTCTTTAGAGGATATTAGCTAAAGATAAAGTGAATATTCAAAAACAAAAATGTATACAGGGATTATTCAATGGTTTTCACTCCACTTCACAACTCAACTTTCGGTCAATGCAAGAAGGGAGAATCGTGCTTGTACTTCCGGCGTTGGGATGGAATAAAAGAGCAAGCATTGCAGCTGTTGAATAGAATTTTTTCTTTTTGTAGGCAGTTTTACGAAGAATGCATTGATTCTAGAACATGCTGTTGTGAAGCCATTCAGGACTGTTCACTCATTTATTTAAGACAGGTATATTTTCCACTTGGGGAGTGAGAAAAAGCATGGTGTTCACTCATTGTGCTTTCTATCTGACTTTTATTTTTCTTATTTTTAGAGAAAATAAGAGACATATCATCCCTGAAGGATGAAATATCCTCAAATATGAAAAGGTCTGCTCTCTGAAGACGAACAGTCTTAGTCTGTTTTTTGCTGCTGTAACAGAATACCACGGACTTGGTAATTTATAAACAATAGAAGTTGATTTGGCTTATGCTCCTGGAGGCTGGGAAGCCCCAGATTAAGGGGCCGCATCTGGCAAGGGCTTCTCGCTGCCTTAGAACATGGCAGAAGGCATCACGTGTGAGACAGTGAGACAGGGCCGGTTTCACTTTTACAGCAGACCCACTCCCATGATAATTAATCCATTCAGCAGGGCAGAGCCTTCGGAACCCTATCACCTCTTAAAGGCTCTGTCTCAGCATGTTGCACTGGGGGTTAAATTTATAACACATGAACTTTGGGGACGTGTTCAAACCATAGCAAGGGCCCTGAGAAACACATTTCCACTGACTTCAAAATGGTTCATAAAAATGGAGTGCTGCGAGAGGAGCCGGGCATTCCCAAGAATGGTTATGAAGAGGCCTCACTGTGCCAGGCACGGCCCTCAGGGCAGGCAGCTCTGTGTAGCCCCCCATGGCAGCAGCTGGTCAGGCTGCCCAAACTCACCGCTTTGGGATCACTTCAGCACCAGCCAGATTCACTTGAACTCAATTGTCTGCAGATTTTATCTCGTTTCTATATGCCCAGTAGGCGGAGAAGCCTTCACAGAAGGACCCTGACTGGGTGGTTGGTGCAGAGCAGTGACATTTGGCAGTGTTTGCTCGGCAAGCGAGTCTTTGAGGCTGCCCTCATGCTGCTCAGTGGGCACACCAAGAACAAGAGCTGGCCAGGGATGATGGATGCATCTAGGCCTTCTCGGCTTAAGGGTAAGTCCCATTTTTCCTTAATAGGTCTTTAGAAGTACCAGTCAGCAAATGTCATCCCCCTCTGCATTCACGTCACGCTGTGCAGGGAATGCTAAACAGAGGCAGATCCAAACATAGGAGTTAGGCTGCTTCTCCATGGAGACGTGGATCTGCACAGACAAAGTGTGCAAGTGGGATTTTCCTGCTATTTCAAGGACTGCTGCTGCACCCTGCCAGCTCTGCCTGCTCTCCCTGCGTCCAGGAAGGACTGTGTCTCTTTGAGTTAGTGACGTCATCAACATTTTTAAAAAGCTTTTAGGAGCTGCTGGTTGTAAATGATTACTGAGAAATAGTATTTCCCTCACTTGCAGCTGTCTGCTTCGCTTTTTGGTTCTGGAACATTCTAGAACCTTGGGAAGCGGCTGGGGCTGAGTCTCAGCCAGCAGGGATGCCCAGTGCCCCTTGTCACCCCCCGAGCAACACAAGCCAGGCTGCGGTTATTCCGGGTCTGTGCGTCTGGGATCGTAGTTTTTACATCTGCCCCAGGCTCCTCCCGTCCCAGCCGTGGAAAGTCGCCCTCAGAGGGTGAGGCGGGCAGCGCGCCTCTGTGTGAGTGGCCCCACCCTTCACAGTGAGTCTGTGTCTACTGAATCCCAGACTCTTGGAGCCTGAGGGTTACGGGAGGTCGTGTGTCTCACGTCGCCACTTCACAGTTGAGGACGCTGCGACCTGCTTTGCTCAGTGGCTGCGCACGATGAGTAATGGCCTGAAACAGGGAAAAGGTCTTGGCGACATCTTGTGTAACGGGAAAAAATGCAGCCATGTTGCAGTCCTGATAAAATACTCTGTCAGTATCCTGCCGTAAAATGACAGGTTAATTTTCAGTAGTAGATTCTCTAATAGTTCTGTGGTCTTCTAGATGCTAAACTCTTTAAGTATCTACATTTTCTAAGCGTCTAATGGAAATATTCTCAAAAAATATAAGCCCTTCATTCTTTCTCAAGTAGGTTACGTTAGTGTTAATATTCACTCTGGAGGTGACTTGACCTGTCGTTGTGAACAGCTGTTGCTCTGGACGACCCAGGACACAGGCCAGCCGCTACCTACCCCAGTGTGTTGGAGAATCACACTCAACTTCTTCCTCTGTGCTGAGTCATTAAAGTTGCCGGAGCAGGTGCAGTTACATAACCTCCAGGCAACATCACATGATTGCTTAAAAAGCAATTATCAAGTCCAGGATGCAGCATCTGTCTCAGTGCTTGGCATAGGATGATGGTCTGAAATACACTTACTGAATTTGGATAAGAACAAGCTCAGGTCAGTGATTATCGCTAGTGTCTCATCAATGCCCTGTGGCTTTTCAGCATTAGCCCCCATGTTCTTGTCCGGTGTGGCAGTGAGAGCAGCTTAACTGTTGCTCTCATTGGTTCCCAGATGGTTTCCATGACTGGTGCAGGGTCAGGTCCACTGCCAGCTGGCTGGCGTTGAAGCACTTGGAGCAACACAGACATTCTGATCCTGAATTATGCTTTCAATGCCATGTGTTTTCTTATCACAAAAATCCTTGTTCTCAAGTTTCTTTTTTCTTTATTTTTATTTCATTTCATTTTTAAGCATTTCTCCACAATTCATTGCCCAAATCTACTTTTTACTCAATTTACTTGCTTTGGTCATATTTCAATATAGCACTTTAATTTCTTAGGCAAACATTTTCAACATTCTCCTGTTTTCTCAAGGATGTCTGTTTTCTCCCCAAGTATGATCCTGTTTAAGGACTGATTTAGGATAACTACTGACAGGTTAAAAGGCACAGAGTGTATGGATGAGGCTGGAGTGATCTGGGACCAAAGGTACGGGTGATTAAGCAGAGTGTCTAAGCAGCTCCTGGGATTGATGTCTTTTAAAAAAGTAATAATAATGCATTTACTTATTTTAGAGAGAGGGTCTCACCACGTTGCCCAGGCTAGACTTGAACTCCTGGGCTCAAGGGATCCTCCCACCTCAGCCTCCTGAGTAACTGGGACTGCAGGCATGAGCCACCACACTCAGCTCACTCTCTTTGTTTTTTGTTTTTGTTTTGTGTTTTTTATTTTTTTTGGAGACAGAGTCTCGCTCTGTCCCCCAGGCTGGATGCTGCGATCTTGGCTCACTGCAAGCTCCACCTCCCAGATTCCAGCGATTCTCCTGCCTCAGCCTCCTGAGTAGGTGGGATGACAGGCACGTGCCACCTCGCCCGGCTAATTTTTGTATTTTCAGTAGAGATGCGGTTTTGCCGTCTTGGCCAGGCTGGTCTCGAACTCCTGACCTCAAGTGATCTGCCCACCTCAGCCTCCCTAAGTGCTGGATTATAGGCATGAGCCACTGTGCCCTGCCTAGCTCACTATCTTTTAATCAGTAGAGATTCTTTGGTTATTTTTTAACTCCATAGATCCCAAGCTTTGATTTTGGTTTTCCAAACAAATTGCATTTATAAATAATAATTTTTATTTACAATCAACAGACATCGAGGCTTGCCATCAAGGCTTCTGATCAACATGAGATGACCGCTGTGGAGTAAACCGATGAACCCTGACCCAGTAGGTTTTGGCTACAGAATGTGGAAAGAAGTCAGGTTACTACATGTGTGTGATCCTAGGGGTTCAGGACACCGGCCAGGTTTCCACAGAGTGATGGGTTGTGCAGGTGACTCATGCTCTAGTCCTCTGTAAGCTCCTAGAAGGAAGAAATTATGTCCTTTAGACTAATAAAATTCCTCCAAACCAAACACAGCACCTACTGTAAAGACACAAAGATACTTTTAGAATAATAAAAAGTTTATCCATTGAGAAATTCCTTAATGAAACAGCGTAAGTATCCAAGAGGTCATTTGCCAGCAGATTTCTTGAGGTGTAAAAAAGCAGAGGCCGTTGCCAGTCGCCACAGCGGCTGCAATAGCTCCTCTATCGTTAAACAGTGGGATAGCTTGTACAGGTTTTTCAGTTGACGATCAATTTTAAAAATTAGTTTTGGTCCCCACCAATCAATTATTTATTAACCCATCAATAAAAATTTAAACACTCTGCGAAGCACAATAGCTATTAAAGAAGACAGAGGCAATTTCTGTATCCAGAGGAGCTTTTAGTCTGCTCTGGAAAGCAAGATGTGTGAAATTAGTGACGCAGTGCATCGCGTGGATGGAAAGGGAGGGACTCACATGGGAACCAGAGGAGCTACGAAGGGAGGCAGCGGGGACTAAGACCTGGAAATAACACGAGAATCAGCAACAAAGGTGTCCGTTCCTCCCCATGCACTTCAGTCCTTGAAAACCATCTTACCATGGAATTCCACAGCGTACCCAGCAATTCCATAGCTTGATGGCACACTCCCCTTTCTCAGCATTCTTGAAAATGGCATTGGGCCAAGCCATTTTACTGAGAAGTTACCTTAAACCATTTGACAAACCAAAAATATTTTGTAATACCCATCTTCGATGTTAGGTAGGCAAATCACAAAGAAACACCAAGGTCTTCTGAGTCGTATTTATCTGAAAAATCACAGCTTGGGTGCATGTGAAGCCAGAGGGGCGCTACTGGGGCCTGTGGTACCGTGGCTCAGCTCCCCTGAGCTTCACATGGCCATGGAGCGTCCAGCAGGTGCAGGCTCTGAGCCTTCAGGGAGAAGTGGCATCAGCCAGCACCATCGTCTCCTGGGTCTTGTGCCTCTTCCTCGGTTGCGGTGTTGTCAGAGCCAGAACTGGGCAGTTCCGGGTGACACCCAGGTGTGTTTGCTGACGTGGAGCACAGGTGAAGTTCACTGAGGTAAGTGGGCCATGGCCCTGGACTTCTAGTGCAGAGCACACCATCCACTCAGCATGTGAACCCAGCTCCAAAGCGTGTGTGTGCATGTGTGTACCTGTGCACGTTGTACATGTGTCTGTGTATGCATGTGCTTTGATGCATGTTGATGTACGTGTGTATCTGTGTATTGTGCATGCACACATACGTGCATGTGTTTGTGTACATGAATTTGTATTGCACATGTGCTTAATGCGAACATATATGTGTGGTCATGTGTACCTGTGTTCGCATGCATGTGTGTTTGTGTGTGTATTGTGAGCAACAATGTGTGCATGCATGTATAGGTGGGTTCATGTGGGTTCATGTTTGTGCAGTGTTGTAGTGTGTGTACACATCATATACACCTGTGTGCATGTATACATGGTATTTCAGCATGTTTGCATGTGCGTTTGTGCTTGCATGTGCTGTGTGTTTGTGTTGCTGGGATGTGGGGAGGCTGCTGTGGAGACAAAAGCTGGAGAGAACTTGGTAGAGTGACCCAGGTGGGGAAATGGCACCTGCAAAGGAAGGCTGGAGGGCCTGGGATTCACGTTGAAATGGTCAGTCTATCAGCTGGGCTGGACACAGCCATCATGCTGGGCAGCCGTGAGGTTAAAACGGAAGTCCGGGCTGTGGGGAGGCTGAGAATTGAGGTGTGTGTATGAGATGAGTCACAAGGGCTGAGCAGTGTGTGTGAGAGAAAGCAAGCGCAGCACCACTAAACACTCAAGAGATTTCGGGGGAGTTACGGGTGGAGGGAGGACATCAGATCTACCCTGGAAGTTAAATGTGTTTTGAGTGCATTAAATACTGCAGGCCACAGACGCCTTGTCTCCATGTCTACTCTTTTATAAATGAAGTAAAGTTCTTGTGAAATACTTTTCTCACTCTAAAGCTCACAATCTATCTTACAAAAAGTATTTTAAATTCCATCCCAAACAAGCCGGGGTGAAGAGGGAGCCCGTGCACCAGGTGCTGCCAGCTTTGCCTGGCTCTCGCCTTCGTTCTCTTCCTTCCCCAGCTGCTGGGGATTTTCTTAACGATGGAGACGGGCTTGGGTTTGTCCTGCTGTGCTCTGCTCCCCATCCCCGGATCCAAGGTCCTGCCTCTGTCCTGTCCCCTGAGCCACCTCAGGGGTGCAGGGTCCCCCACCTGGTCAAGTGCCCGGCGCTGCGCTGCCATTTGCAAGTTCTTCCTGCGACTGAACTCCAAGTGGCGCTGGGACTGCTGACTCCACCCACCGGACACCCCGTGTTCTTGCTTTTGGGGTTTCTGAAACAGCCCCAAGACTCTGGGCATCTTGATTTTGCTCCCGTTGCTTCTCAGGACGCCCTGCTCCTGTGGCTTGCAGCCCTGGCCTTCTCTTCAAGGACGCCTCTGCTCTTCTGCCTCCCACTCAGATTGGACCTTCTTCAGTGCAGCCAGTGGCCGAGGCTTCCTCCGTGGGGCTCGGTGGAGCAGGACAGACGCTGCATCCAAACTCCTCCACTGGTTCCAGTCTGTTCCGGTCAGGCCCTTGAGCCTCTAAAGCTCGTAGGTAAGAGAAGTAGCAGCTGACAGCACTTCCCACTCGATTTGGGTGGACTCCAGCCTCCCCGGCAACGATAAGAGATCAAAGGCATCGTCAAGGAAGCAGCTTGCTGAAACGCGGAGTGCCCGCCACTCTCAGGTCAGGTGGGACCCGCAGGCCAGCGTGGGTTCCTGAACACTTGGTTCTCAATGCTGGCCACAGCCATACCGTAAGGGGAACCAGAGCGTACTGATGCAAACACCTCTTGAACTCTGGAGTCTGCTCCCCTTCCTGCCTCAGGTCCCTCTCCCATGTGGTCCAGTCACCATCCTCCACGGAGACTACCCGAAAACCCAGCGACACTCGTGTGCTTGCAGAACGGCACAACCCTTTCCCACAGCAGCTCTCGTGCTTAATCAGAGGGAGGCTGTTAACGACCAGGTCATATTTGCTTGGTTTGTGTTCAATGTATTTTATTTCTACCAATAAAACTTTAAAATATCCCCACACATGCATTGCCTGTTAAAGAGTCTCTTCCAGGTACACCTGCCTTACACATCAGTTAACTTGATAATTTCTTCCCATTCTTACAAAATAAGTTTCCTTCCCGATCAGCTCTGTCCAGCAGCAACAATAGTCCACGCAGAGACATGCAACCTAAAACTCCGTTAGTGGAGGCACAAAGCTGATGAGGCTGGAAAAAAATGACCGATTTGATTACAATTAGGACCTACAGGAGTGGAGCTCTGCCTATTTTAGAGGCAAAGGAAATGCCTGGGAGTCCAATGACCAACATTCTGTGTGAGGTTTCTAATCACAAGGACGATGGAGAAAATGCAGAACAAATGGTCAAGAATAGGGAGATAATAAATAGAATTATTTATGGGCTGAGGAGAATTACCAGGAGAAAGCCCAAGAAGCGAAGATGAACAGAGAACAAGCTGACCGTTCACTCGTTTGGAAAGGCCTAATCACCAAAGAAGGAGAGGAATTATGAGGAGCAGCGACCGAGTGGGCAGGACTCACGGGGATCAGGAAAGGCGCATGGGGGGAAATGAGAGGCCTGAGCAGCTTCCCAGTGAAGGTTTTTGAAGCACTGTTTGATTTTTTTCTCTACCCCTCACCATCCCAAAATTTTAGTTGTGACTATTCCTGAGTACATGGCTTGTGACAAGCAGTATATAAAAACTAACGTCAGTTTAATTTTAAAACCCCTAGCGATTTTCTGGAACTTAAATATCAAAGAGAAAATGTCCATATATGATGTGTTTGTCTCGCTGGTGATTTGTGCTGATTCAATTCCTTTTTCTTTCTTTTTTTTTTTTTTTTTCTTAAGGGGTCAGTTTTAGAATTGGGAGACAGGTGCATAAGATATAACTATACAGCACAGGTTGGTTTTTTTTAATATAGAAATATCTGCCTTTAAATGAGAACTGAAAATGGAGCTTCTTGAAGGCCACCTACTGGTGACAGTGATCTTACCGCCGTTCAAGCTTTCTTTGAACTCTTTGTTTTGAAACAGCCTCCGTAATCAATGGTGCAAGATGTACTCTCCGGTGGCAAAACTTGATCATTGAAGAGTGTGTTTTATTTTCTGAGGAGCTGAACTGTTCCAATCTGAGTATCCTGAATAAGGAGAATGGTCGAGGATGAGTGATGTCATTTGGGCTTAAAAATAAGTGGGTCTAAAAACTAATTGTTTTCATACATTGTTCAGATATTGACTCAAATAGCAATTTTTTTTTTTTTTAATTACAGGTATCCAGAACTTGCAAAAGCTGTGTGTGGCTTAAAGGGAGACAAAGTGGTGAAGACCTGGTTTCCACCGAAGCTCTCACAGCCCAGCCTTTCACTGTGTGGCCAGGGGAAGGTGCTCCGGGTTGGGGATGGGAATGGGGGGCCGGGGAAGCCACCCCTCGAGGCCACTGGCCTGGAAGGTGGTCATGTGGAGGACCGCAGGAGGTGACATTGGAAAGTAGTAACAAGCCATGCGGATGAGAACAGAGGAGTGGGCTTTAAGGGAGATGTCCTAAAATGCTGCTATGTAGTTTCAGTTCCATAGACAATAAGAAATGCAGGCGAGAGGGCAGCCCAGTGGGAAGGAAGGAAGAGGGTGGTGTTGAGCCAGGTGAGTGGGGAGCCGCCCAGGGCACCGTGCTGTGCTATAGGCCAGACGTAGGGTGCTTCTGCCAAACCCTTCAGCTCCTGGTTTGGGGCCAAATGTCCTTCCTGTGGGAGAGAAGGTAGGCCCTAGGCAGCGTTCCAAACCCTATCCAGATTGGTCGCTGAGTACAGAGCAAATGGAGCCCAGCACGAGACGTGTACCTTCACTGCCACGATCACGTCGTAAACCGTGAGGCTTGGAGAGGACTTGAGAGCTCCTTCAATGCCATCTTCCATCCGCTGCGTGAACCAGAATAGAAAAAAAGGAATAAGAAGAGGTCGGTTAAGTTCTCTATTAAGTTGAGAAAATGGGGACTTCAGGTGATCATGTGAGATATTCAAGTTGAAAAAAATTATTTAAAAAGTACATTCTTTTTATTAAAATTTTAGAGAGTACAGAGAAGGAAATTTTAAAAACCTGCACCTATAACACTAAGATACATGTAACTTAGAAAAATGTGTAGTTAATGCTTTGACGGATTCTTTTCTATTTTTTTCTCTATGCAATATTTATGTCTATCCACAAATAGCGTACACTCATGTATTTGCATGGCTAATATATTTTACATAAAGTTCTATACATTTCTCAACATTTCACTTAATATTTCTTTATAAACATTTTTCCAGCAGTTAAAAATTTGTCAAAACAGTGATTTTAATGATGATATAGCATTTCATTGCATTTATGTATCATTTGTTATTTAACTACTTCATCATTTTGGATTCACATATTTTCAATAATTTCCATTATGATAATACTGTCATGCATATATTTGTACAAGAATATTTATATTTCTAATTATTTCCTTAGTCTAGTTTTCTAAAAACTAAAATTCCTACATCTAAAGGTCAGTGTGTATCACAGTTCTCGATTGACATACTGATTTCCATGAAGCTTTCATCAATTAACCCACGAATAGTGTTTGCGAGTACCCCTTGCCGCACACCTGCAGCAGTGTGGACTCTTACTGGAGGCATCTAAGCTTCACTTCAGAATTGCAGCCCTGAGTTGTTAAACACACCTCTACCACACCTGCGAAATTACCTACAAATTGTCTTAGTTTCTTTGCAGCTTTGATTTCTAGAATTGTATGACATTGAAGACAAATAATACCCATAAAGAAGGTTTTATGAGCTCTTTCATTATCTCCAACAATCAGAAAGGCAAATTCACAGTAGAGTGCTGAGAAATCTTATCTGAAAATTAACTAAAACGCTGCCTTTGTCAACAGAATGACTTGGGCTTCATTTCATTGCACGATTTCCTGTGTACTGTTTATTCCTGCCATGCAAAACGCTTCATGCAGGTAGAACCAGGAATCTAAAGAAACCTGAGGAAGGTGCTAGAATCATTAGTACCATCTTTTTTTTTTTTTTTTTGGAGACAGGGTCTTGCTCTTCACCCAGACTGGAGTGCAGTGGTACAACCTTGGCTCACTACAACCTCCACCTCCAGGGGCTCAAGCAATCCTCCCACCTCAGCCTCCTGAGTAACTGGGACCACAGGCACACGCCACTGTGCCCAGCTAATTTTTAAACGTTTTTGTAGAGACAAGGTCTCCCTATGTTCCCCAAGCTGGTCTTGGACTCCTGGGCTCAGACAATCCTCCTGCCTTGGCCTCCCAAAATGCTGGGATTCCAGGCCGGAGCCACTGCACCTGGCCCCACCTTCCTTTTGCTGGAGGCTGAGCCCAGGAGAAGTTGAACTTATCAGGGAACCTAAAGACATGCCCTTCTTTGAAGGCAGAAGTCCTGTCCACATCAAATGCCCTCCCTCCATCCCTCCCAGCTCCCACCATCATCCTTCCTATTCTAGGCTCCAGGCGCGAGACGCCGTCCCTGTGTCTGCTAATGTCAGTGCCACGGGTCCTCTCTGGTTCTCCTGCCCACCTTCTCTGACTCCGCCCAACACCCATGGGCCAGAGGCCTTTTTCCTTCTTGGCACTTCTCGGTGGTGTAGCAGGACGAGCCGCGGACAAAACCCCTCAGACGCCGGGTTAAGGAGTGATTTGGTTTTATTCGGCCGGGAGCTTCAGCAGACTCACATCTCAAGAACAGCACTCTCTGAAGACAGAGTTCCTGGCCTTTTTAAGGGTTTACAACTCTAAGGGGTTCCATGTGGAAGGGTCATGATAGATTGAGAGCATATGTGGTTAGAGTGGGGGTTAATCTTTTAACCTCAGGCCTGGTCATCAGTGGCACCAGCTGGTCTTGCCACCGACTTCATTCCTGTTGTTTTTCAGCCTTTACTTCCTCCTTCTCTTCAGACAGGAGACAGTAAGAGAAATGGCCTCTCTCCTCAGTGGCACAGACACTTCAGACATCTCGCCTGTTTTGTACTCTCTGAGCCGGATTTCTCTACTCCTCGCCTGGCGCTGATGCCCAGAGGCCCCCTGGGCTTGGGGTCGTGGCCTTAGACCGTTCCCTGACCTTTGTAAGCACTAACTCCACTTTTGAATGTGGACGTTCTAAGCTGACTTTCTTCTTAGCCCTCCGTAAGAGTTTCTAATATCCCCATAGCAATTGGTGTAATTATTTTCACCCAGGGTGTTGGCCCTGGCTGCTTCAATTTTGAAGCAATCTTTCATTTTGCTGAGGAGAATTCATTAAAGTAAATGACTATTTTCTCCTGTCATATCACATTACAATGTGGAGAGAACGGGGTGTAGGGGCAGTCAGACTGGCTCTGAGACCCATTGAGCAGCCATGCGCCTCCTGGACAGCTCGAACACTGATCGGGGAGGAGATACTGAAAATAAGAAATAAGAATTGCCCTTATATACATGTGTATGAATATACACACATACATCATGTACACAGATGTGTGTATGTGCATATGTGTGCATGTGAAGACAGATAGATGATAGATACATAGGTGATTTATGGATAGGTAAATGACAGATATTGGTAATTAATTGATAGATAGTAGATAGGTTGATAGTATATAGCTGATTCATAGATGGATGATAGATCATTGATAGATGATAGGTAGATAGTAGATAGATTATAGATAGATAAATAGATGGATGATAGATACTTGATTGATAGATGATAGGTAGATAGTAGATTATAAATAGATGGATGATAGATGATTGATAGATGGTAGATAGGTAGATAGTAGATAGAGATGATAGATGGATGATAGATAGATGATGATAGATAATTGATTGATAGGTAGTAGATAATGTGATAGGTAGATAGTAGATAGAGATGATGATAGATGGATGGATGATAGATGATTGATAGATGGTAGATAGGTAGATAGTAGATAGAGATGGTAGATAAATAGATGGATGACAGACAGATAGATGGATGGATGATAGATGATTGATAGATGGTAGATAGGTAGATAGTAGATAGAGATGGCAGATAAATAGATGGATGATAGATAGATGGATGGATGATAGATAGTTGATAGATGGTAGATAGTAGACAGATGATAGATGGATGGATGATAATGATTGACAGAGAGATGGAGAGAAAGAGAAGGATGATAGACTGAGCATCATAACTTCACTGAAAGCTACCAGTTGGATTCAAAAGTCAGCAGACTGAAACATCGAATTTCTGCCAGCTATGAGAAATACTGTAATCTGACAACAAGAGATGAACAAGGGGGCATGGAAATAGCAGCTATTCCGGAAGCTGCACCTCTCTACATGGACACAGAGCAGCAGAAGGGGGGCCAGAGTCCTCTCCACATCTCCTCTAGGTCGGTGTTATCGTTGTCACAGCCGGCGGAGGCTGGACCTTGTGAAGGCAAAGGTGTGTGATGCTTTCTTGCTTCTCCTGTTTAGTGACTGTTACTCGTTCCCTCTGCGGTGGCTAAGGGGCTGATGATTGGTCCCTCGCGCAGAATGCTCTGACCATGCTGGATGTCTGGGTCTGCAGGATGACAAGGACCCTGCAGCAGAAACTCCTCTCTCTCTTCCCTGAGCACCATCTTCCATGCTGCCTGACTGTGGTGCTGGCTCCCCTGTGATATGGAGATTCATGGGAAGGACCAGGACATTTTATGTGGCAATGGGGGCTGAAGCCCCGTTCAAACTGGCTTATAAGTAATGAAAAGTCCCAGTGTGAGCATCAGGCATGGCTGGATCCAGGTGCTCAGCACCATCTGGAAATCTGTCTCCCTCTTTGACTCTGCTGTCTCTGTGTGGGCTTCATTTCTAGGATGGTTTTCTCTGCACAGCTATAGCAAAGCTCAGGGCCTGCATGATGCTTTGCAGCCAGTGCACCCGAGAGGACTTTCCCTCAAGACTTCTGGCAAAATTTGGGTATAACACGCTGGTCTTGCTGGGGTCAGGGGCCCGTCTTTCACCAATCTCCGAGGCCAGGGGATGGAGAACTCTCCTAGGGTAGTCCCAGGTTCTGTGCCTCCCCTGAAAACACAAGGTTGGAGCCTCCCCATCCAAATTAATGCTCAGACTGTCAGGGAGGAATGACTTCCAAAGAAAAACCAAGGGCCCTTATGAAGAAGAGGAAGGGCTGCACCTACAGTGGCCAGTTCTGTTTGGAAGTGAGGGAGGGGAGGGCAGATTCCCTTGACTTGTTCCCTAGGACAGCTGTAGTTAGGTTTTACTACACAGTCCACTGAAAATGCTTCTCTCATCAGTGTTGTGCCTCTCTCATGTCTCTTTCCTTGGATAAAGAGCAAGCACGTTACAAGCCACACTTGGTGCTGGTGCTGTGGCAACACTACCTCATGTGGGAGAAGGATGTGAGCAGATATCTGGAAGATGCAAATATAATACAAAAATACAAATACAATCAGTTATACAGCAAGTGGCTGCGGAAACAGCAGCTCTGCTTGCAGGGTTGGGTGGTGGAAGGTTTCAGACTTGACAGCATTTGGATTGGCCTTTGACGTATGACTAGGAGCTCACCAGATAGAGAAGTGGTGTTTGGACATTGTGTGCCAAAGGAAACACGATCTGAGAGGTGCACAAGCCTAAGTGAGTCTGTCACAGAAGCGAGAAGATGCTGTGTCAACCGGAATAATTCTTGTGAGAATGGACCTCGATCCCTTCGTGAGCAATAAATGACTTTTGTGAATAAATTGAAAAATGCTAAATTAGATCATAGGATGTGTTTGCAGGGGTGGGGAGAGAGGAGAGCGTTGAAACTGGGGAAGTGGGGAACCAGTGATGGAGAAGCCTCAGAGGACGTGAGCAGCCACATCTGTATCGCCCCCACACGCAGGCTCCCGTGAAGGCCGGGGTGTGCAGGCTCCGTCGCGTCCTTTCTTTGCAACCTGGGCCTTGGTTTCTTGCAGGTGCTGTGCCCAAAGGTTGGATTGACAGGAAAAAAACATTGAACAGATTCGGCTGTGTCTATCAGGGAACATGGACTGAGGCCAGTGCTTTCAACCACACTCACTTTTCACTGTGTTCAGAGGGGATGGGAAACCTCCCCTAAGGAGGAGAAATGACATGTGCAGATTGAGAGCTGGGACCCCACGGATTTCCCCAGAGGCAAGCGCTGGTGACCCTGCAGTAGCTTCCACAGGCCTCAGCACCCTCCTCTGGCAATGGGTGTTGGGCTAGCCAGGGCACCACAGAAAGGGCCAGCAAGGCACACCCTCCCTGTCCATTGCCCAGGCACACGTGGGCATCCGTGACAGGCCACGCACATGGTAGAGGCTGACCGGAGCTCCAGCCTCCTTTGGCTGCGGTTGGAAAAGGGCAGGTGTGTTCCAAAGTTGGAGAATTGGTGTCTCTTACCCAAGTGACATCCCCGTGCTTGGATACTCACTCCGGCGTCACAGAGTTAATTCCCCAGGATTGGGTGTCACAAGGATCTTGTTCCTGTGGCTGAAAATCCTCAACACCTCCTTTCCTGGGACATCTCCCTCCTGGCACAGGGCAGTTCTCATGCCAGAATACCTTGGGCCACAAAGAACCTTTAGGACTGAGTGTGTCCTTCTGTTTGCTTTAAGCTTTTAAGAAAAAGAATATGCAGAGGCTGATTGAGGCAAAAATACAGGCTATTTCTGACGTTCATTCTGAATGCCCCTGACTTGGCCAGTTTTTGGATTGTATGCCAGCCTGTTTCTGCAGAATGTAATCTCAGTGCCTTTGAGTTCAATCAGTCCTATAAATTGCTATCCCTGTTCATGCAGTGTGTTTTCCCCTGCATGAGGCGTCTGTGAGTTCCATTAGCACTGATCGGACCTTTAAATGCAGAAGCAGCGGTGACGGGAGGGGCCGTTCCCAGCTGTAGGGCATGGGCCTTCTTTGAGATAAAAACCCACCCTGGCACCAACGATATGGGAAGTACTCTGTGTCTTTTCACCGGAGAGCTCTTCGATTAACTGATGGTCACACCTGCATAACTGCTACGAGGCCTGCTAAGGAGGAGCCTGGCCCAGCCATCTCCTCTTTGTGGTCACAAGCATGAAGGCCCTGGGACATCCCCTCTCCTCACTGTCCCCTCACAGCGTTTCCTGACCACTGTGGCCTTTGTTCCATCACCCACCTGTGTGGCTCATCTGGCCATGCACCTCTCCAGCTCAGAACCCTGTTTTTTCCCTGCTGTTTGTATGAAACCAGGTTCCAGCCCTGCCCTACAGTCTGCACAGCCTCCACCACAGCTCTGGTGAGCCCCTTGGCCAGCTCCTGGTGATGGCGTGCACCTCCCTGCTCTGAGAAGGTCTCCCGCTCCTCTCTGCCCACCCTGTACAGAGACATCTTTCAAGACGCCCCCAGAGGAGAGTGGCCTCTCTCTCAACCCCAAGAGGATGTCCTCTCACGTGACTCTCATTCCTCTGACCCCTGTGGCGATCTGAGGGCAGGTGGCGCTCACAGGCCCACGTCTGCCAGCCTGCACCTGGTTGGAGGCGCCTCCCTCTCACTTGTCCTTGCTGGCTGCGTGACTTTGGCAAGTGCTTGCCTCTTTGAGACCCTCAGTTTTGACACCTGAGAAATAGAAAGGCGGTGCCTTCCCCAGCTGCCCTGCAGAGGAGTTTTTTTGCATGTGAGAAAACGCGTGATGAACGACAACGTGAGCAACACGCAGCATGCTGTGAACACCGTTACCGTGAGTTCCCGGGGGCAGGGCTAACACCCAGGCATTCCTACACCTCCCACCAGGCTTGTTATGAGCGTATGCAAATGAAGGCCATCGAGTGTGTTTGATCATTGATGTGTTTCTTTATTTTTAATTTTAGGATATAACAACTTTATTTTTAGCAGCTATAGCGGCCAAAACTTTGTTACCACTCAGCAGTCGTATGTTCTTCGAGAGTAGGTTTTGTGCTTTAAAAATATCTGAATCCTCTACCATTTACAGGTGTTCTGTACATATTTGGTGTATGAGTTGCTCAGGAAGG